CCACAAACACCCATCTTTCCGAACCCTGCCTCAGAGTCTAACCAATGCAGGAGACTGCGAGCTTCTTCAATGGTTGCCTTTCCTAATAAAAGCAAGTCACTCACACACAAGAGTTTTGCCCCATGCTGCATCACAGGACGTCTTTGTCCATAGAAAGGGCTGCAATAACATATCTACCTTAATAGAAAAGCTGGAAACTACGCATAGTAATCATGTAGAACTCTGATTTCAATTAGAAAAAGTGTCAGACTGTGCAGTTTGATTTATACCTCTCGAGCACCATGGTTGCAATGTTTTCCTTCAACAATGGTCCACCAAGACGCAACCTTCTTTCAAATGTATGGTCCCCTGTTCCTGCAAAAAAGAAATTACAAATTGTAACCCCAAAGGCTATATAAGTAATTCCATGAAGTGCTACTGTGAAGGAATTCTATTAGCTTGTATTTCCGGGGCTTCTCTACTAGGTTGAATGCAGAAGGACCAGGTCATACCAAAAAGTAATAAGTCATCAGTTATCACAGATTATTCTGAAGACATTTGAACAGATATATAGTCATCCAAGAAATTCCTCCCGACGTTCTCAACATTACCACCCAAAGAAGACCTAATTACATTTCCCAATCAATCATATAGTTACCAGCAATGGCATACTTGAGATAAACAAAACAATTACATTCTGCAACCATATTCATCAATCTTTCAAGGAAAACAAGAACAGTTCCAAATATGGTTTCCCAAAACTGGTTAGCACTTTATGCTAAATATTACTCTTTGAAAACAGTACACAAGTAGAACAAAGTCCTATTTGAATTGTACCCATTTTAAAATAAATAAACAAATCATACCAACAGTTCAAATTTTCTAGCAATTGATTTCTAAATTCTAAAATTTCAATGCTCAACAAATGAAACAGTGAAATCACCCAATGAAATGATTTGCTATACTACAATCTTAGTTATTGCACAGATAAATAGAAAACCAGACAATACCTGCAAGATGAACCACACACGCCATTTTCTGAGGGGGCACAGATTTTGGGACGAGAAATGCAACTCTTGCACTGTGACTCTCAGGAGGCAATGCACTAAGAAGCTGCTCATCACAAGGTGTCCTGAAAACCCCTTCTCTAAGAGTAGCTGTCTGGCTCTCCCAAACTGTTTTCCAATTGGGTTGGATAACAGTGGGAGGCCAATTCTGACCTGCAACTTCTGGGAACAGCTGCTTGATCATTCTCTCAAGCAACTCAAGCTTTGTACCTCCCCACCCTCTTGAAAAAAATTGTGGGCTTATCTTTGTTCTATGCATGAATGCACCATATACATGGTCCAATACATAATGGAGCATTCCAAGATTCACTGTCACCATATTTGAGAGATCCCCAAAAATTCAAACACCAAAATTTTCCCAAAAAGATTTTTTTATTAATCAATTTAAACTAAACCCAAATGGTAATATTTGCAAATTCACTTTCTATAGCTCAAAATCTTATATGGACCGATAAGAACCCAGAATCCAAAGTGTTGAGAAAAATTAGAATTTGGAAACTTTCTCATATAAAAATCATGATTTGGGATGAACAGATTAGAAATTACTTAACCAGAATAAGAAAATTTTGAATCTTAGAGAAAGCGCTAAAACTATAGCATTATAAATCAATAGGCATTCATAATCCAAAAATCAAGGAGAAGACGTGAAGATGAAATTGGTGAGACCAAAGAGACGATAGGAGACAGAGGTGGTGAGAGACGAGAGAGAGAGAGAGAGAGGGAAGAGATCTACCAAACAAAAACAAGCGAACAACAAAAACTATGGGCTGAGAATAGACCTGTCATTGACACGGTGGATTGGGTCCACGTGCCAACTCATGCTTTATCCATTCTTATTAGTTTATTTTGTGCTGCTTTCGATGATTCTAATAATACCTTTTTTAAAAAATAAAAATTTTAAAAAAAACTTAGGATAGCTTGGGGTATATTCCCTTGCTTGTTTTCGTGGCTGTTCTTTTGTGAAGCTTTTGGCTTGATTGGAACTTGGAAGTGTCGGGGCAAAGAAGTGAATAGGAAGTGTTGGGTCTTGTTATTTTGCGTTTGTGTGTAAACCTAGTTAACTCTAACCTTATTCGTATATAATCGTGTCATGTTCTGATTGGCCCTTATTTCATATGAACAGAAAATTAAACGCTGAATTTCCTTTTTATCTTAATTAAAATTCGTACTTATACATGTGTGTTTGAATAGGATAATAAGTTGTCCCAAGTTGAAAGACTATCACTTCTCATCTCACTACACTTTGATTGTGCCTTAAACTTGCTAAAAAGGATGAGGGTTAGAATTGGACTTTACTTCAAACTTCTCATTGTTTTGCTATATCCTTATCGTTCTTCAATAATACATTCTTTATCCAATAAAAACTAACTTAATCCTAAATACTACGTATCAACATAATAAGAAATAATTCCATAATTATACCATTACTCATAAAATATATATTGAAAATAGGAAAATGAATCATATGTTCCATATAATAATAGTTAAATGTGTTTGTCATCTCAAAAGAGAGTTACTCATTTTTCTAGTGGGACTTATCTGGCTTGGGCTAGGTCCAGATCTGGCCTCAAATGAAAAAAGACACTTTCTAATGCATGTGTTTGGCCTAAGACAAGATAAGGGGTTGATTTAGCCCAAGTGCTGGCCTGAGCAAGAGTGGGCTCTACAATTAGCTTTTTTTTACCAAAAAGGGTCACATCTTTTCCAAATGCAATGGCCTATGAGGCTCTGCCACATGGCCCTCCAAAAGCTATTTTTTCAACGGCAAATTGTTGGGTTGTTCTTTTTCTTTATATTTTTTGTTTGCAACAACTAGTTGCTTCCTAAGCTGTTTTATTTTATTTTTACAGTTTGCAATGGCTAGTTGCTTGATGGTTTTTTTTTAAAAAAAATATTTTTTTTATAAAGGTTTCAAGGCTAGTTGAGCCTTGTTTTTACCTTTTTTAAAAAATAAAATAAAATATTTAATATACTCCAAACCTTTTTTACTTGTTTATTCTTTTTATATTTCTACATTCAAACCTTAATAAATAGGCTTTCATCTTCATCTTTTTCTCTTATCTCTATACTTCAAAATCCAACACTTGGATATCTTTTCTTATCATTTCATAATGAAGAGATTGTTCAAGAAGATGAATCGAATCGTGAAGAAGATGATGAGAGTAGACGTTAGAAAAATGCTTTTATCCTTGGGACCATGGAAAAATTTCAAAGCTCCTCCTCCAATTTGCCCACCAAACCAGGTTCTCAAAACGGTCGCGAATACATCAACCGATATAGGGAAGACAATGACAAGATGCTCAGGAGAGATTATTTCATGCCAAGACCGGTATACTCATCCACTTGTGAAAACATTTCCAAATCCCAATAATGAGAGGAAAAATATGTTTTCCAAGTACCAAGAGGCATTGCGTAAAGACGTTGAACAATGTTTTGGTATATTGCAAGCTCAATTTGGCATCATTCGGGGGGGCTATTCGAATGTGGAATAGGGCCACCCTTCAAACCATCATGATAGTTTGTGTAATCCTGCACAACATGATTGTGGAGGATGAGCATGCCGAAGATGAAGAAGATTTAGATGTAGAAGAAGTTGACGCAATGAACCCAAGGAAAGTAAGAATATATGAGCGACTAGATGATGAAGAACTCGAGCCAGTGGGTGAGACGGACAAAATCTTGGCGGCTTTATGGATCGTTATGCACAAATTAGGTCTAATTATGTTCATGATAGTCTCTAAAATGATCTAGTTGAGCATGTGTACCAAAGGCACGAATATATGCTATCTTAGTAACTACAAAATTAAATGAAAAAGAAAAAAAAAAGAGTTTGTCTTTTTTCATCAAAATTGTTGTTCCAAATTATGGCTCAAAATTGTTTCCAAAAATAAATTTTTGTGTTGTTTTTCTTATGCTTTGAAATTATTTTTTTTTTAAATCATAAATAAAATAATAATAAACTAACATAAGAAATTTTGAGTTTTAGCCCCTAGTCCCTAGCCCCTCACCACCACTAGAACCACAAAAAATTTAAGAGGTTAGATTTTGTAAATAGTACCATTTTGAGGGACTAAAACAACACCTAGCCCCTTACCACTTGCCCTTGCATTAGACATGCTCTAACCTAATTCATTCATTATTCGTGTTAGTTGACCGTGTCATATACATGTTGGATCTTTCAATTGGTTGGATTTACTCATGTTTGTCTGCAAGTCAAGACCTTTTTCTACTGGACTAGACCCCGTTGACAAGTCTATGTTGGTATTAAATTGTGTTTGCAAAGACTACACACCATGATGGAAAAACCCCATAGATTTGTTAATGAAAAAGATCCCTTGTTGTTTCAACAAACAAAAAAAAAAAAGATCCCTTGTTGCAACTTGTCATCATGATCTCTTTTTTTTTGGTCGGATCATCATGATCAAGTATTAGGTTGTGTGGCAAGTGGCATTACATTTTAGCCTTTGCATAATTGTCCCACAGACTACGCAGATCTTAAGCTGCATCTTCATTTTTTTTTCCCAAAGTTATTCCATTATTGTGAATTCCACTTTTGATTTTATAATCTTATCTTATTGTGTTGCCTTAAATTATGGTCTCCCACTAGTTGTTTGGACTGAATGCAATATTCCAAATTTGCGTTATTGTTTTCATCCAAAAAAAAAAAAAAAAAAAAAAAATTTGCGTTATTGCCAAACTGCACATTGGGTTGGTGGACCTGGCTGGAAGCCTGCGGTAGGAGAGATAGGTATATGTATGAGGGAAGCCCCAATTTAGATTCAAGATCACATTAATCTCCCACCATTCATTCATGTGGTATTTCTTAACATCTATGATCAATCATATCAGCTCAGACCAATAAAAGGGGAAGATCAAAACTCAAACGGGTAAGAAAGGGACATAAAAGAAGAACCACATTAATTTGATAAGAGTCTTTGAATTTTTCACCTCCTCTATTTAAAACGTGGGAATGCAGTAATGTCCCAAAATCTTCATTTGGTCAAGCTTGTGAAAACTTTTTTGCCATAACATTAATTGATCTTTGATCAACAAGATAAAAAGGGATTGAGCCTAGCCACTGGAACACAAACTAAGGGATGAGCCCTTGGAAGTGTTAAGCCAGGTCCCTCTTCCATGTCAACAATACCACTACCATTTCCTCCCTCAAGTTTCCATTCAAAGCACTGAATCATAGCAGCAAGGGTTGGCTGAACAACCGCTACTGCAAGTGAGATTCCAGGGCACCCTCTTCTTCCACTACCAAATGGCAACATATGAAAATGTTGTCCCCTCATATCTAACTGGCTTTTCAGACTTCCCTCTTCAGTCATAAACCTCTCCGGCTCGAACTCCAATGGCTTCTCCCAGTGGTTCGGGTCTCTGTTGATAGCCCACACATTCACATACAATCTGGTTTTTGCTGGAATCTCATAGCCAACAATGTTGCAGGCTTCAGTTGACTCTCTGGCAATTAATGGGCTTGTAGGGTGAAGCCTTAGGGTCTCTTTCATTATGGCTTGTAGGTAAGGAAGGTTGGAAATGTCTGATTCTTGTACTAGTCTGTTTTTGCCAACTATGGAGTCAATTTCTTGTCTTGCTTTCTTCATCACTTCTGGGTGGTTGATTAGCTCAATTTCTTGTCTTGCTTTCTTCATCACTTCTGTGAAAATGTACCCAATACTAATTAATAACCAAGAATTGCTTGATTTGCATATGCTCATCATAGCACTTAGAAATAATCAATCTATTTCAATCAGTGAAAACAGTAATGCTTTGAGCATGTACATTTTCAGGAGCAGAGAAGAAAAGGATTTCTTCAATTACTATTTCATCTACAGATCTGGTGTTACATTAATTTGATAGCTTTGACAATGACAATCATTAGGAGCTTAATGCAATGACCTCAGAGTTTTAGCCTGATTGTTGTCCTTTGACAAATACTACATAATGAATGAAAGAATGAATGCTTTAACAAATAACAGATAGTGAAATTTTGTGTCAAGATCAGAGTTATGTACCATGATGAAGGCCTTTATGTTTATTCTACTCAATCTAAACTCTGAGGTCTCATCTTCGGATATGTCAAGTAAAATGTCAAGCAAATCCTTAACGGCATCACCACCTTCACCAAGTTCCTTCCTTTTCTTCCTTGCCTCTTGATGCTCCTCTATAACCCTCTCCATCATTGTCTCGAACGTATCGCGCAATTCCTTAACCCTTTTCCCAAAGCCCTGCAAATCCAAGTTCTTACAAAACCAAATTAAATCCGACAAGTTAAGCCTCCCTTTAAGCTCAGCAGTAGCTTTCACCACCTTCCTGACCACATCAGCGTCTCTTTCATTTGTAGACCAACTCTGCCCCATAGTCATTCTTGTTATGATATTATTCGTTATCGTCATAAGCGCTGCTCCAACATCAACAGCCTCAGCTGCCTTGGCCTTCTTTCGGATCAATTGTACAAAACTTGTCAACTCTTCGCGGCGGATGGGAAGGAGCTGATCCAGTGTTCTTCCACCAAGAAGCTCAGAAACACATAGTTTCTTCATGAATCTCCAGTAAGGTCCATAAGGAGCAAATGCAAAATCAGACGATCCATATGCGAGGTAATCAACAACAGCCATAGAAGGCCTGCTGGAGAAGGAACCTTCATGAGTCTTGAGGAACTCTTTGGCCATGTCTGGTGAGGAAGCAACTAAACAAGGAACAGAACCAAGAAAGATGTGAATCAAAGAACCGTAGCGGCTAGACAGCTTGTGAAAAGCTTGGTGAGGAATTGGAGCAAGGAGGTGGAGATGTCCAATGACTGGTAAGGCCATTGGACTTGGTGGAAGCCGAGGTTTGTTCTGAATTTTGGTGAGTATGGTTCGAACCAGAACCATGGAGACAAGGAAAAGTATAATGTAGCCTTGGAAATCTGCTTCCATGGTTGATTGAGGGTTGCTCATATGAGAAGCTAAAACACTAAGTCATTTGCAGGGGTTTAATTCCTGAGGAATTAGATTTCCTATATATTAATGTTGAGACTTTGAGCCCTCTGTACACCTGTTATATAAAGAATGAACTTTACTAAGTGGAAGAACCACTTTACTAAGTGGAATAGAGTGGGTAAGATAATATACGGATAAGAACCACTTGAGATTAAAACATAAACGAAGAGCTCGTGCTTGAAAAAAAAAACAATAATTTTAGTGACATGCGCAAAACATGATGAATTTATAAATTACTCAACTAGCATACCACTGCCAAAGGAGGCTTCAATAACAGATTAAGACTACTTTGGCTCTTTCTACTCTTTTAAGAAAGAGATGTTGAGTCAACGGAATCTAATTTAGTGGAAAAGACCCTTGACTTGCAGACCAATAGTCTCAGGTTCAAACCTTCAAGGCACATTGGTAGTGTGCAGAGACGGACCCAGGATTTGAAAATGAAGTGAGCTAAATTTACCTTGAGGTACAAACCTACTACAAAGATATGTGCGTGAAGGCGGGGAGTGGGGGTTATGTGCAGGGACGGACTCAGGATTTGAAAATGACGTGGGCTAAATTTACCTTATATACAAACTTATTGAAAACTCGATGGTACGAATGAATTTCATTGATAACAAAAAAATTCACGGGGACATAATGAGCCTTACCCCTCAAAAACCCCGTATCCGATACCGCTATTAAAATAACATATATTTAATAACGGGGGACATATGAATTTTCAGACACCACAATTGATATCAAACTAGCCTATTCTCTTGCACGGTATAAATTTTCTGACACTACATTTGATATCAAATTAGCCTCTCTTAACGAGCTCCCATGTGCGAGAGGCCTATGAAGCGCAAGCACGTTAGTTTTTTATTTCGTTTATACTATTGTTGTGTTGGTTAAATGACAGGGGTTCGAAACCCGTTTGAAGTACTTTGTGGCAAGAGGCAAGACGAACCTCGAGCGGGGATTAATCCCACCCTTTGGGTGTGGGGACACCTCGTGGTATTTACCAAAAAAAAAATGACCTGTCTATCTTGCATATGAAACATCATTACAATGAGCTCATTGCACAAATTGGAGGCTGCTCCATTCACCACATATACAGAGACAGAAATTATGCTGCAGCTGCTATTGCAAATTGGGTTATAACTTAGCGCTAGGTGGATGTCTCCTTGATGAGGCCCCAGGCTGGCTGGAAAATATCCTTATTGATGATATCCTTGGGATCGCTACAGCCCGCATGATACCTGCTGCTGCTTAGTTTGTTTTGTTTGGGGTTTTCCCCCCCTTTCTCACGAAAATAAAAAAAACATCATTACAATTTTGCGAGATGCCTCTTTTTAATCATACACTCGGAAGCGCAACATTTTTATTAATTTTGTAACACAAAAAATGTTACTTATTTTTATTAAAGCTATACTCTATTACAATCAACCTTTTCACAATGAAAATTAATACTTGGTCAATCTAAGTTCCAAACGAGGCTTTTTAGTGTGCTCCGAAAATATATAAATAAATAATATAAAAAAAAGAAGAAAAAAAGAAGTAGAAATAATTAGCAATGGAAACAACTGCCAAAGAAAAAATTAAAGCAAAAGAAATTAACTGAGAAGGCACATGATGTCGTTCATCCGTAGAGCCTTGTGATTGAGCTTTGTCTTGAACTTTCTCTCTTTGTTGGACTTTTTATTTATTTTTGTTCTTGAGTGATTTGCAGATAATGATTCGTGAGATTGGGTGGGGTTTTTTCCAATGTGAGCCAAAAGTAAATAGAAAGTAGCACAATTTGATAGAGTAGATTAATTATATACGACACTGCGCTGGAGAGCCAAACATATAAATTATAGTCTAATACGTACACAAAAATAACTCATTAAAATTATAAAAAGAAAAGCTTTTACATACATATCAGACTGTAATTTTTCTGCAAAAAGAAATAGTTCGTTACAATAATTTTTCTTATATATTAAAAAAAGAAGAAAAAAAGAAGTAGAAATAATTAGCAATGGAAACAACTGCCAAAGAAAAAATTAAAGCAAAAGAAATTAACTGAGAAGGCACATGATGTCGTTCATCCGTAGAGCCTTGTGATTGAGCTTTGTCTTGAACTTTCTCTCTTTGTTGGACTTTTTATTTATTTTTGTTCTTGAGTGATTTGCAGATAATGATTCGTGAGATTGGGTGGGGTTTTTTCCAATGTGAGCCAAAAGTAAATAGAAAGTAGCACAATTTGATAGAGTAGATGTATTATATACGACACTGCTCTAGAGAGCCGACATATAAATTATAGTCTGACACGTACACAAAAATAACTTATTAATATTATAAAAAGAAAATTTTGTACATACATGTCATACTTAAATTTTTCTGTGAACAGAAATAGTTCGTTACAAGTATTTTTCTTATATTAATATTCGAGTAGACATTAATCTGCTTTAAATTTGATTCTTAATGCCTGATCAAGAAGACGGGAAGGGATTGAGCCTAGCCACTGGAACACAAACCAAAGGATGAGCCCTTGGTAGTGTTAATCCAGCTGCCTCTTCCATGTCAACATTATTGCACCCTCCTTCAACTTTCCACTCAAAGCACTGGATCATAGCTGCAACTGTTGTCTGTACTACCTGCAATGCAAGTGAGGTTCCAGGGCACCCTCTTCTTCCACTACCAAATGGCAACAGATGAAAATGCTGCCCCCTCACATCCAACTGGCTCTTCCCACTTCCCTCTTCAGTCACAAACCTCTCCGGCTCGAACTTCAATGGCTTCTCCCAGTGGTTGGGGTCTCTGTTGATAGCCCACACATTGACAAACAATCTGGTTTTTGCTGGAATCTCATAGCCACCAATGCTGCAGGCTTTTGTTGACTCTCTCATAATTAATGGGCCTGTGGGGTGAAGCCTTAGGGTCTCTTTCACTATGGCTTGTAGGTGGGGAAGGTTGGTAATGTCTGATTCTTGTACCAGTCTGTTCTTTCCAACTATGGAGTCAATTTCTTGTCTTGCTTTCTTCATCACTTCTGGGTGGTTGATCAGCTCTGCTAGTGCCCATTCTATCGTGACAGCGGATGTGTCGGTTCCAGCTGTAAATATATCCTGTGAACATGTATCCAAGGCTAATAAATAATCAAGAAGTGCTTCATTTGCTTATGCTCATAGCATTTAGAAATTTATTGTGATTTTAAGTTTTCCTAAGCAAGCTAACGTCCGGCCTTGTGGAAAAAATTTGTGTAAGCCGGTTATGCATGTAACCTTCTTCTTACATCATGCATATTGTAACAGAGAGCTTGTACAGAGGGAAGCAAAACTACGCTCCAAGTCAATTTAACAACATATAATCAGTGATTGTTTATGCTTTAATGAACTCAGAGTTTCTTGAACTTGAAGCAGTGTTTCATCTACAGATTTTGTGTTACATTAGTTTCATGGATCGAATATTTCTGTCAATCATTAGTATATTACTACATCACTTACCATTTAACAAATACTAATTAATAAATGAATGCTTCAATCTTAAGTAGAGGCATTAGCTATCAGGGAATGAGCAATGAAAGTTGTGTGTAAAGATCAGAGTTATGTACCATGATGAAGGCCTTTATGTTTACCATACTCAACCTAAACTCTGAGGTCTCATCTTCTGATATGTCAAGTAAAATGTCAAGTAAACCCTTAACTGCATCATCACCCTCACCAAGCTCCTTCTTCTTCTTCCTTGCCTCTTGATGCTCCTTTATGATCCTCTCCATCATAGTATCAAACCTATCGCGCACTTCCTTAAGTCTTTTACCAAATCCCTGCAAATCCAAATTCTTACAAAACCAAATGAAGTCTGACAGATTAAACTTCCCCGAAAGTTCAGATGTAGCTTTCACCAGCTTCCTAATCTCATTAGCCTCTGTCTCATTTGCAGAGCAACTCTGCCCCATAGTCATTCTTGATATAACATTATTTGTTACCGTCGTAAGCTCTACTCCGACATCAACTGCCTCAGCTGCCTTGGCCTTCTTTAGAATCAACTGTACGAAACTTGCCAACTCTTCACGCCTAACGAGAAGGCATTGATCAAGTGTTCTTCCACCAAGAAGCTCAGACATGCAAAGTTTCTTCATGAATTTCCAGTAAGGTCCATAAGGAGCAAATGCAAAATCAGCTGATCCATATGTGAGATAATCAACAGCAGCAATATAAGGCCTGTTGGAAAAAGACCCTTCATGAGTCTTGAGGAACTCTTTCGCCATGTCGGGTGAGGAAGCGACTACACAAGGGACAGAACCAAGAAAGATGTGAATCAAAGATCCATAGCGGTTAGACAGCTTGTGAAGAGCTTGGTGAGGTATCGGAGCAAGGAGGTGGAGGTGTCCAATGATTGGTAAGGCCATCGGACTTGGTGGAAGGCGAGGCTTGGTTCGAATTTTGGTGAGTACAATTCGAACAAGAATTGTGGAGACTAGCCACACAAGGAAAAGTATGATGTAGCCTTGGAAATCTACTTCCATGGTTGATTGATCTTTGTAATAATCTTGCAAAAAGGCGTTGATCTAAGGCGTTCTTATATAAGGAGATGAAGCACTGTTTTGTTCTCTAAAGTTTTTAGTTCTTGAGGAACTGAAATTCTTATGATTTGAGAATCTGTTTATTCTTGTAAGACTTGTTATAAAAATCATATCGCTATTTGTTTACATTTTAAATTGTTTGTTTCTGGTTACATTTGAAAGCAACTAATCATTGGAAAGCCTGTTGTGTACTGTTCTAAGGTTGGGGAGCAGAGGCTGGGTCAGCAGCTGTGTTTGGTGCAACATGGGAGTTTAAATGACAACAAGCGTGCATGCATGTATTGATTACAACGTTGTTCTTGTCATAACTTCTTTGTTTCAAATTTTCAATTGGTTTAAAGCCGGCTATTTCCAAGTTTTTATATGCAAGCATTTGGTCATTCTTGCTAGTTGCCATCTGCAGATGATTAGGTCAAAGACCAGTTTTCTCCTTTTGGTGGGGGGGTTGCAGGATTTCAACCCACATTCAACTTTTGGGCTTATTAT